CAGCTCTTGATGAAATAAGCCTGTATTTTATCATATTTAACACCAAATGCTTGTTTCTTAGTTCTCCGAATTTTGTAAGCAATCAAATAAAGATCTTTTTTTTTGTTTGTTTTTAAAAAAGGGTTCAGTCATCTTCTCATTTAGAATAAATGGAAATCAAGGTTCCAAAAAATCTCAATGGTTTTGAGCTTCTTAGGATAGCATGGAGATTACAAACACATATGTATACCTGCACATATAGGCATTATTTTTGATCCATTTCTATTCATTCTTTTGAAAACAGTCAATGAAAGCAAAAGAGTTTAAAGGGCAACATGGACTTCTCTCTTCCTATGCAAAGATCCATATATTTAGATATTTTCCCTTAAAAAAATCCAAAACAAAAATACTGGTTTTAGTCTACTCTAAAGCAAGTGCACTCAAGCTGAACTGCTTCAGAGGTGATACTGAATGTCGCAAAACCATAATGAAGATTCGTTACATAGTAACACCCACTAAAGAAGTGAAAGGAAAAGAATGCCATTTGTGACCTTGGGCACCAAACAAATTGCAGAATCTATGGATGCCACCTGCCACAAGAACAGACTAAAATTTCACCACACTGTTCAAAACGGATTCATTCATTCTTTATGACTTGACATCAGTGATATATATTACGGGTAACATAACACATAGAGTGCATATCTTCCCACGTGTGCCGTAGAAGAGCTTACTCTTTTCCTGGTCTTTTGAAAATCATGATTATCTATAAAGTACAGAGTATTTATTAGAGATATAAATAAAAAGTCAGTATCTTTGCATCGGTGTTCTCTTATTAGCTATGCTTTACAGTCCCAAATTCTAGTTCTGCTTTTCTAAGGGATACGTATATTTGCTTCTCCAAAATGCTTTTAACATCATACTGAATCTATCTAGGACATGTTTATTAATGACTATTTCTGAATTTTCCTATCTTCTAAAAAATGGGGTATTCTGACATGTAGACACAATCTTGCCATTATAATTCTGGTCTTTCTAATCAGATGAAAAAAATGAAACTTTAAGTAACCATTTCTAAGTATATTTTAAAAAATAATCCGTAGGTGAATGGTTTGTACCTATTCACTTCATATTCCCCATCCATAAACTCTGAAAGGGAGAGCTGGAAATGGCCAGACCTATACCCTGACTACTTGTCCTCCAAAGCCTGTAACTATTGTAATCAATTCCAAGGATAATGGTATTTCTCCCCTTTGATCATTCCTTTGTCAGGCTGACTGGCCCTCGATGGTGAGTTGTACTGCTGGTTGTCTACCACCAGCCGCTCGCAATTTGCTCACTATGTTTCATGAGACAGTTGTTTGTGGCTGTTTGGAACACATTTGCCTCTTTGGGGATTTATGCGCTAGTTGCAATGCCAACCTCCATAGTGATCGAAATTTCTTTCTAACTAAAATAGATAATTAGAGGCTGGTAATTATTGGTCAAGAATTATCAGAGTGAAAAAATTAAGCTTCTCATAAATAGTTCTTGGCAATGTCATCTCTTTATATCATCTCATGCCTAACAGCCCTTTATTCAGAGCACTTACAAATTTACTCTACACTGTTGAGCCTCATAATTTTATATGAGGCAATCCCTTTGCTGGGTAAAATACATTTAAATTCTCTGGTTTCATCTCTATTTGTGCTAATCCATACCAAAGAATAATAATAATAATAACAGAAATCTCAAAGAGGAAAAGAACAATAATTATTTACTATGCTGATAGAAAAGAGAAGAATGAATTGGAAATTAAAGCATCTAATACACAATGGTTTCTTGTTGTATTCTCAGGTCAAAAGCCAACATAAACTATGTGAAACGAACAAAGGAAGACAGGAAAAATTTTCTCATTGGCACAAATCTTAAGAGAGGGAAATCTTTTCCCCAGGAAAGCTGTTAAAATGTTTTGTAGCTCTTTTTGTGTGTGTGTGAAGAAGAAAAGAAACCCCCGAATAGGCACTGGTCTGATTTCTTACTGAAGCTGTGTTGAAATGTGGTGGACAGGGAGGTTTTCTTTTTTTTCTTAATAGACGTTAAGTCAATTCCCTAGTGCATTTTTATCGAGTAATTATTCTCGCAACTCAAACCATGTGTCCACACCTTGCTGTAAAACTGCACTTAAGAAGAGCACCTCTGGTATGTACCTGGTAGAAACACTGATGGTTTCCCTTTCACAAATGTCCCTGCCCAACAGCCTAAGACCAGCACACCCAGAAATACGCATGGAGGTTGCCTGACACTGAGATTGCACGAAAACATATGTGCCACATAGAAGCAAATGCAAATGACTTGGGGAAAGACGGAAAGTTGAAAGTTATACCTCATTGGGTCATCTGTAGATCTTGTTTTCCATCAGGTGACATAATCCTTCCTCTACACTGATTGAAATGTAAAACAAAATATGCAAAAACACCATATACCCTCTTAACAAAAGGAGTAAGAGGCTTTTCAGATACTCTCTAATCCCCCTTCCCCTATTAAATGTCTAGTTGAGATTATTTTTTGATTAGACAAAAAACACACACAGATACACAGCCTAAAAATACCTACCCTCAATGGAGGTATTTTAGCCAACAAAATAATGCTGTCTGCCTCATTTGAAAGACTAAATGGCATATTGGAATTTTAAAAAAGGGGTATCTTAGCCTTTGTGACTCCCTTCCTTTTTACATTCTCTCTCTCTGGATACTAACAGTGCGAATGGGGTGTAAGGACGGGGAAGCGTGGTCAACACATACAACAATTAAATGGATGCTACTCATTTGTTTAGGCCTCAAGTGCAAGAGAATTACATATTTTTATTATTAAAAATGGCATGAATATTGAATAACTAGACCCTCTGTGAAAAGGAATGGAATGTGCTTCTCTGATGAAAGGTGAATTGTTAAATGCTCAAGTCCCAAGAGGTGAGTGTCTTATTAATCCACTATAAGGTAGAAGGTAAAAAGTCTTGGGAAAGCACTAATGATGCAACGAATATAAAATAAATACAAATAGGAATGATATAAGGCAATTTAAAAAGAAGACAGAACAAACTGATTAATGTTTATATGAAAATGATACTAAAATTAGAAAATCAAAAAGTTCTGTTATACTGAACATTCCATTTAAATTCTAAATGTGCAAAATAATATTAACATTGCAGTGAAAATATATTCAACATATTCATCTGAGTGCTGGGATAAACAATAAATCTAGAAACAAAAATAAGTTTACATTGAATAGAGCTCAAATCAAATTTTGAGAAGCATAATCACAAAATTTCACTGAATTTCCCATAAACTGCAAACTTCTAAGAACTGCTCTCATTCAAGCCTATCTAAAAGTGGAGCATGAGGAAGAATCATGAATGACTGCCACCAACACAGTCTACTCAAGAAATAGACGGGAAATATTAACATTTATCATTTTGGCAGGAATTCATTTTTTTCTAACACCTGCTCCTCTCCACTAAAAAGCAGTTTTAAAAGTTTATATAAGATATTTTTCACAATCTCAAACAAAAGGGAATTGCAAGGAAACATTTATGGATCTCTTTTACATGTTGCCATTATCTTCTAATTACTCATAAAAGTTGTCAATGCTACTGTCACATTGAAGAATATGCTATTTAATGTATGAGAAATCACTAATAATACTAGTACTTAAATCTGGTAATTATAGAGATAAATTGATCGATATTTTAGCAGTTATGCATAAGTTCCATTTTGCACAAATAAGTTCTTAGTCATTTATAAGCAACAACTCCCCTAAAGACCGGCCATTTGAAAACTATAAAGTCCTACTGAAAAATTATCCATTTTCCAACATGCTTTTGAATTTATCTTCATTAATTTATATAAGAAAAAGGGAAGTTTTGTTAGACCTTTAATGATCAGTAATGACAGCTGTGAGCAACTTTCCACTAAGCATTTTTAGAATATTTCTAGTTAGTAAACATGAAAACTTGTTTCCCCCGAAAACAAGTTCATAGTCTAAAATGTTGAATTTTCCTTCCTGTCTTACAGAATTTCATAATAGGAGAGTATGAGGTTAATTTAACTTTTAAAATATTATATTTATTTATGGTATTATGAAATACCATGAAGTGAGTATGAAATAAAAAACTCATAGTATGAAAAACACAAATGAGTAACAAAAATAGCATAAAGTAATAGCAATTGTCATTTTACTAGTAGAAAAATGATCTGCTTGATAAATTTTAATTGGCTGGTAAAACGCTTACTGTTATTACTAAGTGCTTATCAAATTAAAAAGCATAGGCAGTAACCCATAAGGAATTAAGAAATAATGGGACAATAAGTTAAAAAATATTCTTTTGGTTTTAGCCCACGTGATAAATGCAAAATCCTAAAAACACTGGCCTGGAATGACTTCAGAAATCTTTCCCCAAGCCACTTTTATGAAAATCTATGAAAAATTTGCTGGGGAATAAAAAAAGGATTACAGAATTCTTTACATGATCTTTATGATCATGATTATATCCAGGCTGTTGAAACCATACATATAAAACTATTTTATGGCTATTTAAATTATTTATGTTTCCCTATCACAAAAACTCACTACTTTAGATTCTGATACAAAGATGCTTAAGCAACACACAGCAGTGCCATTACCATAATAACTTCTGAAATTAAAACCCGTCTAAAACTCTATGGAAAGCTAACATCCAGTTCATTAACCATTCCTGTTAGTTTTCAATAATGCAAAAATGATTAGAAGTTTAATTTGTTAATCACCTGTGTTTTGACTGGCAGTAGATATATAATCCTCTGCAGAAGCCTAAACTAGCCCTTGCAGAAAATAAAATGTGCTAATACCTTATCAGGACTAATAATGGAAATATAAAAAAAATCAATCATGCTGAGGAAAACCATTGATGGTTGAACAATTAATTCATCTTTAACTCTGTTTAATGATGATATACACAAGTAGAAGAAACATCTTTCTGTAACAAGGTTTAGAGTGTCACTCACCAATCATGTGATTTGCAACATGAACCTGAATATCCCATTCATTGTAGAAAACCATCTGACACTTGATGCATTGATAGGTCTTCTTCTGAGAAAACAAGTATAAACAGAGTTACTTAGACACATGGACTTTTAATTGTTTCTTTGCTTTAAAAACACATTTTTCTGAGATGCTGGTCTTACCAACGTTGCTGACCAACAAACTAAACTACAGGGCCAATTCCTTACTTAGCCCTTATGGCTTGACCCCAACACTATATTTTCAGTTGCAGGCATTTAGAAGAAACAGAAGCACATAATTATGGCATAATATATTTTAAAGATCTCTAAACTCAATAACAAAAGGTTTTTGAAACCAGAAGTATTACAGAAATACAGTTTTTTAAAAACAGAAGTATTTTTAAAAAATCTACAGAGTTACGGAAACCAATGTCTTTGAAGATCAGGCACAAATTCCTGCCAACCAAAATAACTGGGGTGTTGCTTCTAGATATCCATAAGTAAAATGGCTAATAAGTTAAGATTCATGAATTCTAGCTAAAATATTTAGAGACCAGAATTTTTAGCTAAATTCTACAATTTAAATGATGTTTTAGAAGTTGCTAAGTGCTAGCATTTAAATATATACTTCATCCTATAAATAATATCATAATGAACATTCTAACACTATTTTATCATTTTACGAAACAGTCCTGTGAAGTAGATAGAGCAAGATTTTTATTATAATTCTTACAGCATAAATGAAGAAACGGAGGCCCAGAGAAACAGAAAGATTTGCCTAATGTCACGGTGCCGTACAGCTGGGAAGAGAAATACGTTCTTTCAATTCTAAATGCTAGTAGGCTCTCTGATTTCTGAGTCATAAAGCAGCCATTACGATTTTACATCTTCATTATTAAGTTCTAGTACTTATTAGATGAACTCAATAAATAGAGTATTAGTTGTGTTTTCCAGAACACATACTTACATAAATTCCTTTTTGATGAAACTTAATATTTGTAATTAAAAACCATGTTGCAATACAAAATAAACCATTATGAAAATAATCCACTTCTAAAATTTCCCAAACATAAGAAAATTACATTTGTAAAAATCACATAAATGACATTTTCTTATAAGCATTTTTTACAGAATTATCGTTTCATTTGAAGTCATCTAAAATTGTTTTACTAATGGTGTAAATAAGGAAGTACTAGCCTGTAAATTACAATTAATTTTAAGGAACTGAGGTTCTTTAGAACTTAACAGAAGCAAAGTTAAGCACAAACATTTAGCATAATTCATTTGAGATTTAAAATTATAAATGGCATTAATATAATTTTTTCCTAATTATTGTAATTTAACATAATATTTTCTTCTGCAATAGTGGACAATATTCCTTGTAAACTATACAAGTACAGGCATATTTCCATTGGAAGCTGTCTAAATAATCTGACGGCCTTTGTACGTTAGGCATATCGCAAACTGAATGTGCTGAATCTAAATCTAACACGGACTTCAAACACCCTGACAATCACTAAGGAAAATTTACTACACTGAGCTGTTTACAAGATGCTTTTGATAGTGACATATAGAGCAACATGTGTTACGTAAATAATATCTATCCCTTTTTTTAACAATATTTCCCTTTAGAACTAGTTAGAAAATATTTCTTACTCCCTGATGACCTACATTATATATTGTTTATTAGCATACTTCTAGCATTATTCCTGATATGTGACCTTGCTGAAAAACAAAGAAACATAAACTGAACGGCTAGTCTTTTCTCTTGTTAGCACAGTAAAACACACAATACGTCGAAAACTGTCTCCAAAAATGATGACTGATGAATATGTTGCCAGAATATACCAGGGCTTTTCTTCCTAGTCTAATAATAAAGAATAAAATCACTTGAAAAGCCAAAATAATAAAATACCAGCACTTACTACTATCTTCAAAATGAACTGACACATGTAAGTTTTCTTTTATTATTGAATGAAAATGCTTTTGCCACTACTGATAATTCAAATATTAATTCTCTCCACTCATAAAACAGTATCTAAAATGCTATATTTTTCATTAACAAAGCCATAGTCTTATCTATAAGCTCCTACATTTATGGCTAGATAAGAATTTATTGTGATCAAAAACAATGAACCATGATTTTAAAATACAGAAGCTTGAACTCTGCTTCACCATATTTTTCACATTTCCCCAATACAAAGCAATGATATGCAAACTGGGATGTGTTAAGGGTTTTCTTTTTAAAGCCATGATGTAAAATTCATTTTTATCCTCAATTTTTAAAATGGTAACGTTAAATGACCTGTAAAGCATCTCTCATTATAATTATAGATTCTTCACAAAATATTTGAGAGACCTCTGTACACCTGTACACCATTTTTAAGTACAAGGATTATAACCTCTGAACGGTGTCAGCCTTGGGGAACTCATTCCCTTGTTGGTAAATTTATTGCACCTCTGTATGGCTAAAATTATGAGAAAATTCTTCCTGATTCTAGACCCAAATCTGCTTTTCTGCTACTTTCACCCATTGGCCCTAACTCTAAGTTCTGGTGCTACAAAGAAGAGGCTGAATCCATTGTATAATATGACAATTACATTAGCGCCTTTTCAGACTGAACATAGGGGCACGACGTAAGAAATACTTGGAATTACTTCCCATCCTGGTTACCTACCTCCAAGTCAGTGTTTTAAGAAATAGAACTCCAAACGAAGCTCGATGCTCCAGGTATGATCTGACCCTTGCAGAGTACATGAGGACTGTCACCTCCCTTAGGACAATTACTTACATTTATATAAAAGACAACAAAAAAAGTCAAGTGAGATAATTTCTTTTAAAAGCAGATAAAAGTAGAAACAGAACTTCCATTGTTTGGGCCCCAGATTGGCCTTTATCAACGCTTAAGTTGTCAATTTACTTGAAATGCTAATTTAGTACATTTTTAAAAGAGACTTTTTTTTTCATTAGCCTTTTTAAATGTGCTACTTGGGAGTGGGATTGTCATTTCCTGATTGTTCTCTTTTGTTTTCTGATACTGATAGATGTAATTATCAAGGATACAACTTTTTCCCAGCACCTCATTATTTTTGATTGATTTTGAGAACAGTTTAAATGTGCCTTTTTGACATTCTTGTTTTCAGTTACACTCTGGTTAAAGTACTCAGAGACTTTTTAAAAAGAACATCTCATAAATTAAAAAAAAATGATTAGAGATGCTTAATAATATATAGTTTTTAAAAATTATTCCGATTAACCCTCTTCCCCTCCATTCCATCCATTAGGACGTAGACTCCACATTTAGTCTTATCAAATTTTAAAAAGTAAATTAAAATAATAATTATTAAAACTTATACTTTGTAGAAATCAAACTGCTTTGATTTCTTTTACCAAAATACTGAATGGATTAAAAATATCAGTGCACACAGTAATCCTCAAAAACAGAAAAGAAAAAAAATTAAGTTGCTACCATTGGAGGTGACTATTACATCAATTTCTTTTTCTGAAAATTGGCAATGAAAGGGTCAGAAGCACCTTGCATTTTTTTAGGAAGAAGTGTAGGTCGTGCCTATTTGATGAGTGAAAGCTTTTCTTTATAGAAGAATGACAGCAGAAGGGATGATAAAATTAGATATTCACCATTTTGCAATGCCAAATAAAATGGTTCAGGATAATCATTAATGGATTCTGAAACTAGTAGAGGAAAGGTTATTCTGAGATACTCAAATTTCATCCTGTGATCACTGCAAAGAGAAAGATTTATCTTTACAATAAATTTAGCTGATGTAATCACTCTAACCAGAGTATTTAGCTTAATATCACTAAGAATGGAAGTAACCTGCCACTGCGTGCCTCTTTATCAGTTGCAATATGAAATATACATCACCAATATAGTATCTTATCTAAAAAGGGTACTTGAATCTAATTAAGTCTTTAGGCCTAACAATCCAGTTTTCAGTAAATACAGGGATAGGGGAACAAATATTACTATAAAAAATGCAAATCCAGAATATTCTTTAAGAGAAAAGGGGAAGAACTGTTACTATAAGGGGGGAGAACCCTTCAAATCCAGAATATTCTTCAGAAGAAATGGCCTATTGTCATGGGAAAAAGTGGAGTGATGAAAGAGACTGAAAAAGACTTAAGTAAATGTGATGTGTGGGTCCTGATTTGGGGGAGGGGGGGAGGAAACAGCTATAAAAAGGTTTTTGAGGCAATTGAGAATAATTTAGATTTCAATCTCACTATCAGCTGATATTAGATACTATCGGTACGTTACCGTTACCTTTTCTAGATGTGATAATGGTATTGGAGTCATGTGGATTATTGTTTTAACACAAATCTAATGTATAAACTTTAAGAAGTCAGGAACCATAGTCACATTCATTTGTATAATAAAATAATAATAATTTTATAAATTATTTCATACAGTCTATAAAAAACTTGTATTTAAAAAAAAATCCCTTGAAACAATCCTCTAAGAGTAGATAAAGGAGACATTATTATCCTCATTTATAGATTAATTAAGTGACTTGGTGAAAGTCATACAGGTTGTTAACACCATAACCAAGACAGGATTCTGCTGCCTTTCATACACTGTACTTTTAACACAGTTTATACTCTGGTCATCTGCAGGTAAATTTACAATTACATTTTAGGTGCATTTCAAAAGAAGGCTTTCCCTATAATTAAGTAGTGCTTTGGTCTTTGACAATGCCAGGAATGGTAGGAAAAGTAACTTATGAGAGTGAAGGAACTGTAGGCTCCCAATCTCAACCCTTAACTAAGATTCACAGAATAGAACTGGCTCTTCAAATTCTCTTAGTCTATTTCAAGATTTTCCTTTGTCCTCAGTGTTCTGCAGTGTTTTGTTTTGCTATGTTTTAAACTGCACATTTATGTGTATTTGTTTTGCTCAATACAAAAATAATACCAATTTGAGATCTCATGTATGTCCTCAATTCTTAAAATTTTCAGTGATTAAAATCACTCAGTTACTAAGTCTGTTTAAGACATTCTCCATTCACTTCTATCAGGATCCTCAGTAGACACAAATTGGAGCCTCTCAGTCTATCCTCCATGTATTT